TCCTCTTTCCTCTCACCAACCTCGTGTCCCAGGTTGTAGCCCAAAGCCTGGGTTCCAATCCCAGCAGTTTCCTTCTGTGTGACCTTAGATAAGTAACTTAACTTCTTCGTTCCTCAATTATAAAGTGGGCGTAATTATTCAAACCTCATAGAGTTGATATGATGACAAAATGAGTTAATATCTGTGAAATGCTTCTAGGAGTGCCTGACACAAAATGAATGCTATGTTACCTTTATAAAAATCATCATCTCTACTTTGTCTGTTCCCTGGCATGATACTCCTTTTGCACTGGGATGGGCCAGGGGACCTTCAGCAGAGTAGATACCACAGTGACTCGAAGAGCCTCAGAAAAAGGCTTTCACAGTAGCAGGCTATTGAGGGTGGAACTTGGAGACTGGGTGGGATGTTCAGTTGGTAGAAAAGGGAGAAGGGCCATTTGAAGGGGACACAACATGAGTAAAGGCATAAAACCAAAGACCAAACCTGTTGCTGTGGAGTCAATTCCAACTCATAGCGACACTAAAGGACAGAGTAGAACTGCCCTGTAGGGTTTCTAAGCAGCGGCTGGTGGATTTGAACTGCCAGCCTTTTGGTTAGCAGCCGTGCTCTTAACCACTGTTCCACCAGGGCTCCAGCAAAGGCATAGGGGGTAGATAAGTGTGAGACAGGTTTGGGGAATGGCACAGGGAAGCAGGGGTTGATGAGGCTGAAAAGGCCCGGGGCTGGGGATGGGGCACAGATTAAGGAGTGCCCTGGGAGCCAAACTGAAAAATCTGTACTTAATTGAAAAGGCAACGGGGAGCTACCTAAATCTACAAAGTTATTGATAACTGGAGGTCCCCCGGTTACGAACCTCGAATTTACAGACAACTCGTACTTGCCCTTCAATGTTAGGTAAATTTGCCCTAACTTTGAAACAATTGAACCAACCCCTACTCGCAACAAATTCTTTAACACAATCAAATTCACTTGCCGCACACGCAGCTTTTAAATGACTGAAGCGGACTGCCACATCTTTCTCTCACAGAGCGGCTGGTGAGTTGGAACTGCTGACATTTTGGTTAGCAGCCGAGCGCTTTATTATGTGTCTCTTGAAGTTTAAAAGAACCAGCCACAAACAAATACAAACAAAACAAAAAAAGAACTTGCCCACGAAGCTAAGTGGACCAGGCACGTATTTATTCTTTTTAAATAACTTTTTCCATTTCTTCCAAGTTATTGGGTTGTTCATATTTTCTAGTGTTCTTGAATTAATTTTGGTAACGCATGTTTTCTTAGAGAAGTGTCCCTTTTGTTGAGATTTCCACATTTATTAGTATAGAGTGTCCATGTATTTTCTTATTTTTTTTATGTCTTTCTTCCATATCTCTGGTTGTGTCTTCTCATTCCTTATCTTGATATTTGTGCCTTTAAAAATTCTCATTCCTTATCTTGATATTTGTGCCTTTAAAAAAAAAAATCTTGCCCTAGGTTTGCCTATTCAAATACCAATTCTTGGTTATTGTGTCTGCTTTTCTGTTTCCTGATTCGTTATTTTCTGCTCTTTTCTTTATCAATTCTTTCCTCCTCTTTCCCTAGGTTTATTTTATTGTTTTTGTATGTTTTAATCTGGCTTCTTGAGTTGAGGCTTGGGGGAGGCACTGAGGGATCAAGGATCAGAAGCATGTGTAATGGTGACAGAAACTATTGAGGTTCAGACATGACCAAGAGAACAGCCCCCTGTTGAAGAAAGAACCCCATCTCAGGAGGCAGGCGAGCTGGATTCTAGTCTCAGCCTTGCCCCAAGTCAGCTGAGTATCCTTGGGCAAGTCCTTTCCCCTCTCAGAACCTTCTTATCCATCCCAGGCAGCCAGGTGGGATATGGGTCCAGGTGAGGTCAGGCCCTGTGAACTCCCCTGTACCAGGCAGACTCCCACCAGGAAAACACCCTCTGTCCTTCAAGAAGCAGATTTGGCCTCCCTCTGATGTGGTCCTGGCCCCCACCTCAGCACACACACCCATAAAAACTGTGCAGTTGACTTTCCTTCACATGATGAAGCCAATAAGCAATGATGACAGTGTGTCCTAGAGGTGAGTCTCAGCATGAGTGTCCCAGCTGAGAGGCACATGGAGCCTTTGGACTCGTGGACAGATGCACAGCCAGGTCCGCATGCAAAGCAGCGGAGTATAGTTGTTAAACTCGTGGACTTTGATGTTGGATTGCCTGGGTTCAGATCCCTACTGGGTAACCTTGGACAAGTTACTTGACCTTCTTCTGCCTCATTTTCCTGTAAAATGGAGATAGTATCAGGTAAAGTAGAGGGTTAACAAAAAAGAGAGAAACCCTCAATGAGATAGATGGACACGATAGCTGCAACAACGGACTCAAATATACCAAGGATCATGAAGATGGCACAGGACTGGGCAACGTTTTGTTCTGTTATACATAAGGTCACCATGAGTCGGAGCTGACTCGACAGCAATTAACATCAGTTCCTTATGTCATAGGATTGTTGAGGGGTAAATGAGTTCATGATTTAAAATACTTAGGATAAAGCCTGGTGTTTTGTAATTTCCACATAAGTGTTTGTAGTTGTTGTCATCATTAGGGGTGTGAGCCTGGGGGCGGGGCCAGGGTGTAAGCTCCTCCGCTGGTTGGCGGGGGAGCAAGTCCATCAAAGCAGCCCCAGCCTTTGGCTGTCTTCTCCACCTGTCTCACAGTCTGGCAACTGACATTTCAGTCTTTCACTGAGTAGTCGGACACTTGTACTCACTTCGCTTCCTCCGATGTCTTTTCAGAAGCCCCATGTCTCAGTATCTCTGTAATGACTGTGGAAAAGATGCCGTGTGGGGCATGTGTGCTTCCTCCACCCCCACCGTGATACTGGGCTGAGAGTTAGGGAGCTTGGGCCAAGGTACTTGCTCTGCCCTGTGGGTCTTGGGCCAATTGCTTCACTCTGTGAGTCTCAGTTTTCCTATCTACACAGTGGCAGCAGGACTTGGTCAGAAGATCTCCAAGAGCCTTTCTTGCACTGATAGTTTGCCGTGGATGGCGGGGATGATTGTAGAGTCCAAAGAGCCTTGCGTCTTCCATGGTGTCACTTCTTTCATTCACTTAACAAAAATGTGTGGGCTTGTGTCTGCTGACCATGGGGCACAAAGACCCAGTCACTGGAACTTATACTCAGTGGAGAGAAGGGCTACCATAGGGTTGTAGGTGTTGGGTTGAGAAGGATGAGAGGGGAACGCACAAAAGGACTGGTAGGGGCGACCCTCCTTAACTCACCTTATCAGCATGGTCAGTTTGGCCAACTGCCGTTTTCTGTTTAGTCTCAGTCCTCCTGGGGAGTCAGAATGGCTGTAATGGCTGCAGTTCATATGAGGGATCAAGGAGTCCCCTGTAGCAAAGCCTCAAATGAGGAGACATGAACCATGATTGTCACAAGCCAGTCCAAAGCCAGGGAGTGGCAAGCAGAGGGAGGGAGGGAGCCTCCTGTCTGGCAGCTGCCTAGTGTTCTGTAAGATTCTAGAAAGTGAGCCAAACTCTGTGAAACGAGCCAGCCTCTGGATGCTGGCTGGACAGTCTTTGAATGATTGGCACCAGAAGGACTGTTTGTTCATTCAGAGAACATTCACTGGCACATTCCATGGCTTCTTTGGGGAGTGCTGGCAGAGGTGGTCCCTCTCCTTTGGCCATGTGCTCAGGGTCTGAGGCAAGGACTCCACATCCATGTGCTGCCTGCATTGCCCTGCTGGGGCCTAAGGGGACGCTTTGGAGGGGCTACTGGGGCCACGACTGGCTCTGTGTGGTAGGAGCTGCTTACCCACACCCTTGGACTCTCCTGGCTTCCCCAGTCCTACCCACAGAGAGGTGGAAGTTCCTCCCTCCCTCCCCTAGTCCCAGGCCACTTCATTTCCTGCCCACTCCCAGGGTGGCTGACAGTGGGTGCGTCCCTTTCCTTCAGAGGGAACCTTCAATTCTACACTACGGTGAGTCCTTGTCTTCAGGGCCCAACAGATAATCACAGAACAGTCTGATTTCCCAACATCTGAGTTATTGATCTTATCCACAGTCGCTGTGTTACATACAAGGAGCTGGCACTAGGGATTTGAAAGGGCTTCAAGACCCTGCTCTTTTCATAAGAAACAGATAAACCTCAGTGGTGTCTCCTTTCAAAGTACTGCTACCTCAGGGTTTTCTTCCACCTGGTCTATAACTAAGCATGCTGGATGCTCCACTCATTTGTGTATGTATTTACTAAGAGCCTACCGTGCACTGAGCCCTGTGGTAGAAACAGGCTTCCTGGATGGTGAATCAGGTGTCATCCCTGCCCTCAAGGGGCTGCCCCTGGGGAGAGGTGGACACACACCCGTGGAGTGTCCACTGCTGGGGGGCCAAGGCCTCGTCTCTCTTGTTCACGTATGTCCCCAGCACCCAGAACAGTGCTTAGTATCAGGAGGTGCTTCCTGCCTGTTTATTGAATGAGTGGCATTGGGAAGAATTCAGTCCAGGGCCACTGCAGGGTCTCCCTGCCCACTGGGAGGAGGAGGTATCAGAGCTGGGCTTTGAAGGCTGGGTGAGCTTAGACAGTGTGCAGATGGAGGAGGAGGCACTTGGTGCCAAGGGCCCAGCAGAGCAAAGGTGTGGAGGTGGGGAAGTCCAAGTCATATCTGGGGAGTAGAGAACAAGGTGAGCTGGCTGGAGCTGGGGCGTGCTGGTGGCGTGTTTGCCCCTCCATTGTCCCACCTCCCCGACTCTCTGGTTTTCCATAGATGCAGCAGAGCCCAGCCTCGGGTTCTTACTGAGTGGAGCCAGGGTGGTTGGAGGTGTGTGTGTGCATGCACACATGTGTGTGTACATGCACGTGTGTGAGCATGGGTGAGTGAAGAGGGTGAACTGGGGACACTTTGGCGTTCAGCGTCCAGACGTGACAAATGTGCAGAAATGTCCGGGGAGTGGTGGACATGAGCGGCTGGCCGCAGAGATGCTCACCCCGTGATTTGTTGCTTTGATTCCTCAGGCCGCGACTTGGCGAGCACGACCCTCCCCGGGTACCCTCCACACGTCCCCCCCGCCGGACAGGGCAGCTACTCAGCGCCGACGCTGACAGGGATGGTGCCGGGTGAGTCTGCACTGTCGGCGTCTCCACAGCAGGCAGTGACTTGGGCTTCAGGGGGGCGCCCCCCGAAACAGCCCGGGTGACCTCTATGCTTCTGAGAAACAGACCTGAATAAATCAGGCAGAGGTCTGCGCTCTTGGCCTCTTTCTCTGCAGCTGGGCCACAGTGGGGGCCGGGGTCAACCAGCAGCGGCCTCAGGGAGGACATGAGAGAGGGAGGGACTCTGGACTGTCACTCAAACAGCCTTTCATTGGCCACTTGGGGAATCTGAACACAGAGGGGTGCAGGGCCTGGCCAAAGCCTGGTGGAGTGGAGGCCACCCCCCACCCTTGCTCCCCCACTCAATTTGTGTGACATGAGCACATGGCAAAGCCCTGAGATACTCCCAGCTCCTTACCCTTAGGGTTTAGGACCATGTGCTCAGGACAGACAAGATGTTGGCCGGTGGGTGTGCCGCTTGATTCTAATTTGAACACCCTGTGGCCATTGAAACCGGATCCCCTTGGGCCATGGACGTTTCAGGTTCTTTCAAGATGTTTGGAAATGAGGGACCCTGTCTCCTTCTCTTGTGGGATGTTTGGGGAGAAGACACACCACCATGTCCACAGACTAGGGGCACTAGCAAGGCAAGGATACCCAAAGTATTGTCCTTGACAAGTGTTTAAAAAAAAATTGGGGGAAAAATCAGGACTTTGTTGGGTGGTGCTCTACATGTCTTATGGGTTGGTGGTATCTTCTGTTTGGAGTCACGTGCAGGGGCACTTGTTTCAGTGTTTGGGGGATCCAAGGGCCTCAGTCTTTTAACACTCTGGTGACTCCCTTGTGGGCATGGTAAAAAGCCCAGGTTGGTTATCTCACCCCCTGCCCACTCACCCTGGGCTGCTTTGTCTTTGGAACCTCACAGTATCTCTGAGAAATAGGCAGGTTGGGATTATTTACCCCATTTTATTGGTAAAGAAATTGAGCCTAGAGAGAGGCTGGAATGTGCCCAAGTTCCCCAGCCAGCAGGAGGCAGAGCCAGGGCTAGAAGCCAGTAAGAACCACACTTGGACCAGACAAGAAGGACCCTGCTCTAGGCCCGTCTCTTTAGAGGGCCTGCTCTGGCCCTGCTGGGGCAGTGACCCTCCCCATGGGCTGTGGAATCTGTGTGGCCAAGGGGACATGCTCCCCTGGAGCCCGTGCCCCTTCTTCTAAACCACCCTGGGGTCCTGTCCAAGCAGTCCCCCAGTCCCTCTCAGTCTCTTCCCTAGGGCCTTCCTCAAGGGCGCACCCCTAGGCCCGAGAACTGGTGCTTTGTAGGGAGTGGGGACCGAACTTGGACATGAGGGCTGGGTGCCCACACTTGTGCGTGCAAGGCCCTGTGAGATGATGAGTGGAGCTGGGGGTGGGAAGAAGAGTGGGCAGATCATAGCCTGGGGTGAGCTTTCCCCCTGAAGCCATGTCCTGGTGCAGAACACCAAGGAGTCAAGGCTCCTAAATTCCATCCTGGCCTTCCAGGTTGTTACGAAGGTGCATTTAACAAGGTAGGAGGATAGAACATATTTCATTTAACGGTTTGTTAACTTGATTTATCACTCTTAAATACGAGACATATGGGAACTGGCCTCAGTGTGTACTCTTGCCCTGGGCCTTGCCGATGCTGAGGGTCCTGCCAGGATCACACCTGCAAAGGCTTGGCCTATTCTGCTGCAAGCTTGGTCCCATGGCAGACCACAGGGAAATATTGTGCACATGGCAAATAGTACACACCCCATCCTTCCCTGCAGTGGGCTCCTCATTTTCCAACCTTGAGCAAGTTAGGGCAGCCTTGGATCCCAAGCTTTATCCATAATGGCCCTTCACATTTGTGTGGCACTTTATAGAATGTAAAGAACTTGCCCTGAAGTCCTTTAGACTTACAATTCTGTGAGGTGGCAAGGTAAGGGGTGTTACCCCCACTTTCCAGAAGGGGAAGCTGAGGCTCAGAGGAGTTAGGAAATTGCCCAAGACTTCCCACCCTGCAGTTGGGAAGACCTGAACTCAGGTCTTCGCCCTCTGATTCAGCACTCCTGCTGCGCTGTGCTGCCTGTCTGTGGTCTCGGAGTCTATCAACTCCAGCTTCTCGAGGGCAAGAGGAGGGGGAAGCAGAGCAGCCCTGGGCCCTGTCCTCAGGGCATGTCGGCAGGTGAATGGGGGGGCATCCAGCTGGCTCCCTGGCTCCCCACTGCAAACCCCAAAGAAACTGAGTTCAGAGAGGTAGTCGAACTTTCCCAACTTTATCCAAATGGAACCTGCCCTCTGGCCCCCATGATTCCTCCAGCCTTAATTACCAGGCTCAAGATGCAAATGGCTATGGGTCTGGCAGAGCCCCCTGTGGGAATGCACTGTGGCACTTAGCCCATTAACAGTGGCAGCAGGAATCACAGGCCTGAGCAAGAGCATGGCCTAACCACGCCTGCTGGCAGCAGCTGGCAGGGACACTCACAGGACTGGCTAGGTGCCACATTCCCCCGGGACTCTGTCCTCTGGCACAGAGGGAGGGTGCACAAGCATGCAGGGGAGCCTGTGTCTGGGAGCAGGGAGGCTTGGGCTGTAGCCCAGGTGAGCCCCATGTCTTCCTCTTCTCTCTTCCTTCACTCCTCTGCATCTCTCTCTCTCTCCTCTTCTCCTTTCTTTTCTCATTCATGCTCCAACACTCTGTGCAAAGCCTGGTGTCAGAACTGGGATTCCATGCTCAGCGGGCATAGTCCTTAGTTCCTGTTCCCTAATGTTCAAACCAGGTTTGTTTCTTTAGGCTTCTGTTTCCAACATTATTTCCAAACCTGTTTCTTGGGGTGATTTCCTGGGGCAGCCTAGGCCTGCACATCGTCCTCACTGGGACTGCCTCCCAGGACTTGCCCCCAGCACTGAGGGGGGGGTCCCTTAACAGCAAAGTGGGGGTCCTGAGCCTGCCACTTAAGCCCCTCCCAGGTCTGGCCGTAGTCTGCCTTTCTAGCCTCCTCTCCCGACCTCCCTTCTCCTCAAGAGCTGCTGGCTACCACCGGCTTCACATTCTTACCGTCAGTGTCCTTCCTCATAGGGTGCCTTTGGCTTGGAATACTTCATGCCTTGGCCTGTTGAAATCCTTCAGAACTGAGCACAAATGTCACCTGCCCCAGGAAGCCTTCTGATGTGGCCCCATGATGCTTTGTATCTGTCTCTGTTATGCCACATGGCTCAGTGGGTCTGTGTCCCAGGTAGCTGTGCCTGTGTCCACCTCCCCCACTGGAGGTGAGCTCATTGAGGGCTGGGCCCTCTGCCTTATCAGTCTTCTCCCCCCTTTACAGCTCCAAGCACATAGTAGGTCCTTTCTGTGAGTATTGGTTGAGAGAGGGAGGTAAGGAGGGACGGAAAGTTGAGCTCTGTGTTAGTTTCCTACGGCTGCTATAACAATTTTCCCCAAACATGGTGGCTTTAAACAACAGAAATTTATTTTCTCACAGCTCTGGAGTCTAGAAATTCAAAATCAAGGTGTTGGCAAGGGCCACACTCCCTCCAGAGGCTCTAGGAAAAATTCCATTCTTTACCTCTTCCAGCGTCTGGGGGCTGCTGGTATTCTTGGCTTGTGGCTACATCACTCCAATCTTCAAGGTCAGCACCTTCAAATCTCTCTCTGCCCTATCTTCACATCACTTCTCCTCTTGTGTGTGTCAAATCTCTCTTTTAAGGATTCATGGGATTGCACTTAGGCCCACCTGGATAATCCAGGACAATCTCCCTATCTCAAGACCCTTAACTTAGTCACACCTACAAAGACTTCCTGCACCAAAATGAGGTGACATTCACAGGTTCCAGGGATTAGGACATGGATAGCATTTGAAGGACAATTTTTCAGCTTATCACAACCTGCTTGAGGATTTCAACTTTGCATTTGTTCAGATGTCTGATTCATAACCTCTTGGGCCTCTGAATCTGGGAGGCATTCACCCTTTCAACTGTGCTGATGCTAAAGGCGATACCATTTCAGAGCCCCCTGGGGGCACATTGGCAGCGCACGGGCTGGAGGAACAAGCTGGGCAAGACTTTGGGGAATCTGTTTATTCAGCTTTTGTCTTTCTGAAGTTGTTACATGGCAGCATTCTGTTCCACTCTACGTAACATTCCTACCTCTTCGCCTCTGGTTGCTGGCAGTGCACTCCAGAGGAAACTGGAAATCTCTGGGGTTTTTCCCACCGTAGGCTTTGGGAAATACTTGGCTGTCACCTCTTCCATTTATAAGGGAAGGCGTTTGCTTCTAGAACACACAGAGGAGGGATTGCCTCCAGGGAACACTTGGGCAGTTGAACTCTCAGACCTGAAATAATACTTTACATTTTTCCACATTAAATGTCAGCTTCTTGTCTTCGACTTGTGTTTATTTTGAGTCCTGAGCCTGACATCAGGGTTTGTCTAACCCTTCTGGTTCCAGGGCATCCCCACATCTGCCCAGCGTGGCTTCTTGGTCTTCTCTAGTGTTTGTAGATTCAGTTTCTGTAGCTCTGCAAACCCCGTATAACCCTTTGCTGATCAGTTATGTGGGATAAAACAAATAAGGTGTATTATATCAGCTTAGAATAAAGACAGTTTTCAGATTTTATTTTTATCAAGTCCCAGCAAATGCCAAAAGTTTTGCACCAAAGATTCTATAGAGTTTCTGGATCATCGATTTCTTCCAGAAGATATTTGCACAACCTAACAGATACTGACACGGCATTTGAAACTCTTAAAAATTCTGGGCTGGAGGAAAAAGGAAAAAGGAGTTCACTGCCCTTTGACTTGAGTGAGTCAAAGAAACATGGTAAACATCTTTGAGATGAACCAGTCAAGAATGCCCCACCCATGGCCCTGTCTCAGACGCCCTGTCCACAGCCCTGTCTCATGCACCCTGTCCACGGCCGTCTCATGTGCCCTCTCCCTGTTTTACAGTTCTGAAGGTTAGAACTGAGTCTTGTGTGCTAACATCAAGGTCTCAGGAGGGCTGGTTCCTTCTGGAGGCTCTAAGAGAG